TATAAACAAAGAAATTTGATCATGGGAAAGTACGGACCTTATTGGAGACATATGCGTAAATTATGCACTCAACAATTGTTAAGCAATGTCAAGATCAATTCATTTCAATCTATGAGGAAACAAGAGCTTCAAATTCTTGTGAATTTCCTCGAAAAAGCAGCTTCAAATCGCGATGTGGTTGATCTTAGCGCTAAACTTGCATCTCTTAGCGCTAACATGGCTTGTCTTATGGTAATTGGAAAGAAATATAACAATGTAGATGGGGATTTCAAAGATATGGTCAAAGAGACGTCGCGTATGGCAGCAACGCCAAATCTTGCTGAATTATTTCCCTTTCTTCGTTTTATTGATTTCCAGGGATCGATTCATCGTATGAAACAAATAGCTAAGAGTTGTGATGAATTTTTGGAGAATGTTATTGATGAACATGCTCGACAATATTCGAGTGACCAGTCGAAAACTAGTACAGATATGGTTGATACATTGATGGAAATTATGCAATCTGGAGAAGCTGAATTCGAGTTTGATCGTAGACATGTCAAAGCTATTTTGTTGGTAACGTCATATCAAACTTCTTGAGACTCCAAAGTGTTTATTTTATAATTCATATAGCCAAATCTATCTAGCTTGGGATTGAAGCGTGCATGTTTGTTCATAATGTAAATGTTACAATAACATATCTTTTCGAAATGTACACCAAGATCACTTTGATGTTGTTGGTATTTGATTTAATATTTTTTCTATATTTCACCAATTAGGTTGAAGAAATTACAATAGTTGTGTCTACTTGATTTAGATCTAAATATATTGATCTTTGGTGACAAAGTTTTCACAATCACTAAATATTTTTTTTTCAATATACAGGACTTGTTGGTAGCTTCAATGGATACTTCATCAACATCAATTGAATGGATTTTATCAGAACTTTTCAGACATCCTAATGTAATGAAGAAACTTCAAAGTGAGTTGGATTATGTAGTTGGCCAAAAGGGGATTGTAGAAGAAAAAGACCTAGAAAACCTAGATTACTTAAACATGGTCATAAAAGAAGGCTTTAGGCTCCATCCAGTTGCACCCTTATTACTTCCACATGAGTCAATTGAAGATTGCACACTTGATGGATTTCACATACCTAAAGGATCTCGAGTTTTGGTTAATGTTTGGGCAATCGGAAGAGATCCAGATGTTTGGCATGAGCCTGAAAAGTTCATACCAGAGAGGTTTGTTGAAAGTACTATTGATGTTCGAGGACAAAATTTTCAACT